AAGATTCATAAGTAGATACATCCAACATTTTCAAAACGATTATTAGTTTTTATTTGTAAATCTATTTTGTTTTAAAGAGAAAAAAAGTATGACTTCTTTATATTTATTTTTTAAGGTATTGTAAGTTAAATTTGTGGAATATTTGAAAAATTTTATATGGAGAGAACAAAAGTAAAAAATGAGTTTGAGAGATTAATATACAAACTGTAGTGTTTAGTGGAGCGTGAGTAAAAAATAAACTTGACACCTGAATATACGAACTGTAGTGTTTAAGGGGAACACAAGTACTATTTGAGTTGAATACCTTAATAAACAGATTGTAGTATTTGAAGAAATACAAGTGACAGATGAACTTCGCACATTGATAAATAGACTGTAGTGCTTAGAGAAATACGAGTGGTTGGTGAGTTAAATAACATAAACAACTAGGTTTATCATAATATTAAAAGAAAAGAGTGAAAATTTAATTGGTTGATTTTGAGAAAGGTGAACTTTGCACATTGATAAACAAATTGTAGTGTTCAGGAGAACATGAATTATAGGTGAGTTAGACACCATAAACAACTAGCTTATTGTAATATTTGAAGACAATACTAAAAACTCAAAGTAGTTGACTTAAAAAAGATTATATAGATATAAGTAATATAATGCAACCCCTATAAAAAAGTTTGCACTATTTCTCATTTTCTCTTTACTTTAATTGTTGTTCATCATTATTTAATATCATATTTCTATTCACATCACACACACACACTTTAAAATTATTCACATGCATTTTCGGATCTTTTATCTTTTATGTATCATCATTATCATTTGTGAGAAACTAATTAATAAAAATAGACTTCACTAGCATTCAAACACTTTTATACACATTAAATAGTGAAGAAAATGATCATATAAGAAAGTTTGCCTATCATAATTTGGGCATTATATAAGAGTGAAGGTTGGGAAATATACTTAAAAGCCTTAAAATTTTAATTACTCAATTCACCCCTCCCCCTTCTTTTTGGTTGTCATAGCCTTTAGGTCAATAATTAGTATTAGAGTTACTTTTAAGGAAAATTTCATTAAGAGAAGAGTGAATATTCATGAAGCTCCATCTTTCAAGTGTTATTCCTAAAACTCAACCCACTAAAGGGATACTCACTCTTCTATTATAATAATAATAAAAATTTCTTTTGAATAATGGAGACCTATTAGAAGATTGATCTTCGTGGCAGACTGAGTTCACACGCTCTCTTTCACTTACATTTAACTTTTATTATAGTTTTTGTGATTGCTCGGAATTTAAGTGTTTGCTAGCTCAAAATATTGCCCATAATCAATATTTTTTATTACATTCTAATTACTATATATGCACATTTTTTGCAAAAAAAATATTAATTGTTTGATATCAATATATTTGGAAATACGTTTATTTCTTGAAGTCTGCATGCTTGCACATCGTAACAGCTTAAACGCGGATTTCATAAGTTTCATAGCGCATTAATTATTTGATTTGGACATTCGTTTGGAATTGATTCACTTGTATAGGATAATTGGAAATTCATACAGAAGATTAAATTCTTGAAAAACTCAACTATGCTGTCTGCCTTAAGCTTCAGACCAATAGATAGTTCCAAACCTAATATTTTAAGTAGTTGATTTAAATAAAATTTGATTTATTTTCGTACATAATGGATGCAATCTATTGTGCTTGAGAAAAAGTTATTACATTGCGAGGCGAGACCACTACAAATAAATGTTCGCCTCAAACCCATAAATCAAATCTTAAGTTTGATGTTGGTTGGTAAATAATAATTAACTACTCCTCTAATAATCCCTCATGTATCATATTAACTTTATGAGTTTTACTTTTTACCGTACTGCACATACACATGTCATTTATTTCCTGCTGACAAGTTGAATAATAATAATACGTGCATGATTGTAAGTAGTACTACAGATTTTGACTTCATTATTGTCTTCGCATTAGAACTTTTATTCAATGCCCCTGCTTGCATGCAGTTTTATAATGTACTGCTGCATGAATTTATGACTTTGTTGAGCATTTCCTTGGACACTATTTTTTTTTTTTTTTACCTTACAAGGGAGTATATATACTAGATTATCCTATATATATATATATATCTTCCTCATGGTACTTTCTGATTTCATACTCACTGTTGAAATTACGATTAGGTAAACATTCACTTATTTAATTCTAATTCGTCGTGAGAATGAAGTATAAATTATAAATTGGGATGTAAGCATAGTTGTGCGATTAAATTATAATGTGTTTAAACTCGGGTATTCTATGTCAATAAATATTTTAAACCTCTGGTCTGATGGTTGAATTTGTTAACACGAAATGCATTTGGTGTTTATTGAGTTCTTAAAAATAATTTAGAGAAATTAAAAATAATAAAAAAATTATTTACTAATTTTAAGGTAGGTTATTAATTTTTTTTTATCTAACAAAAAATTTAACTAATTTGTCTTAAAATTAATATTTTGTATGATAATAATAATTTAAATTATAAACTATTTTTAATGAACACATATATTTTTAGTAAAAATAATTTTTTGTAACTAGCATTTTATAAAAAAATAAATATATAAATTATAATTAATTTCAACATACCAAGTAATTAGGGTTCAAGAACTAATCTAAATCAAAGGCAAAGGGAATATTGGAAGAGATTGTATTTGGAAAGAATGTTTCTTCCTTGACTACTTCTTTAATTCCATGGTATTTTATTTCTATTATTTTGTTTCTTAATATGATTTGCGGTCGAGACATGATAAAACACCGTTAATTTTTAATATCGATCTTCAAATTATTTATCTTACTAATATATGCATGTTCAACATTTTTTATAATAAGATTTTGTATTCAGTAAATCTCATTAAATTTGACCCTGATATTATTATTAGATTACTAACATTATTTTATCTTTTTTTTGTTGCTATTAAGGGTAGCAACGAACTAAACATGTTCGTAAATAATTCATATTCAATTTCATCGTAGTTTATTATGGTTAAGTTAATTTGATTTTAAATCTAAAATAAAGCTTAAAAAAAAAAAGACTCGCATTAACCCATCACATGCTTATAATTAGAAATTGATACGCAACTTATAATCAGATGCAATGCGTTAAATACAATAGATAATTGTAGTTGTTATTTTAAGAGGTTTGGTTATTCGTCTCCTTAGCAACCACTTAAAACTATTTCTTAAACATGTTGAAAGGCTCATTTGAGTACATAACATACGAGCAAGTGATCGAAATCTCTTTCAAATAGTTTGCAAATTCTCTCTTAAATTTACTCATTACATTTATTTGCAAGTTGTGAATTAATTTTTATTCATACGATTAATTTGTTCTTTGGACCAACAATAATAACAATGTGGCATAAAGGAATCAAATTCTACTAATTTTAAAACCTACCAAAAAAGGAAACTGATAAGAAATTATGTTTCCATTTAAGGAAAACAAAAAATTAAGAAAGAGAATTTTTTTTATTTTTATTTTTTAATAGGTTTTGTGAGGGTAGAAGCGTGAAGCGTCCACTTTATTTGTTGAAGTGGAGAATATGAATGGGACAGAATTTTCCTTAGGGTTTGGAAATCACAATTATTAAAAAAAAAAAAAAAAAAAGAAAAAACAAGTGCGACACACGTGGCAATCATGCAGTGGCGTAGGGTGTAGGTGGAGCCCACGAGAAGAATCTTTTTAGGCTGACGTAAGGAGAATCTCCTTTTTGATTCTCTTTTATAATATTGATTAATTAGAAATTAATTGCTGGTTAATTATTTTAATTAAAAAAAAAATGGACAACTCAAGTACCCCACTCACAGACTTCCTTAATGGTAGGGTTTTTCAGAACTTGCACTTTCCCTAAAGTTCCAAAACCATCTTTTCACCACTTTCAGCAGCATATGGGGGAGGGGAGGTGAGGTCATGCAAACCCTTCTTGCATACATACACACATATATATATATATATTATATATATATATATATATTCATACCTAATAAACCTTCATATTTGGTTTTTGGGTATAATTATGTGCTTACCAAATATTTGATTTTATTATTAAAATGATCCCAATAAACTCATAAAATTGAATTAAAACACAAAGTAATTAATTTTTTGGTTAAATTTTAAAATTTGGCTCTTACCCTTTTCTCCTCACTTTTCTTTTTAATTTTCATTACTAATTTACCCAATTTGTTAATTTTCAATTTAAAATTAATATAAATTGACAAGTAAGAGCTATATTATTTTCATTTAGGCATTAGTTATTATAATTAGTTAATTATATTGAAATAAAATAATAATGATAAAACCAAAAATTTACAATTTAGGCATTTGATTTTGTAGGAATATAATAATAATATGTATATATATATATATATTTTTTTGAAATTTAGCCATCCAATCCCACTCACCCAATAGTCAAACCAACATCACATCACTTCTGATTTGTCAAACTATGCAATTCATTATTTATTTGGGTTCCAACTTATGAGGTCTTTTATATATATATATATATATATACATACATACATACATGTTAGACATGATGAATGTATGTGGTCCACCTACTCACCCCAACTATATACGCACATACACACCACTTCAATTCAACTTGTAGATTAATAATATTTATATCAAATTATTTACACTTTAATTCATCACCAAAAAAGTTGAAGGCCTACCATTATGTTATATATATATATATAAACCTACTGTAACTACAGTTTACTCCACCATAATTTTTCTTTTTCTTTTTTTTTTTTAGAAAGTACTAAAATTAAATTCTTTTATTTATTTAATTAAAAATAAATAATTCACGAACGATATCATGAACATTTCTTGACTTCAAATACGCAAGAAAAACTCTTAAATATTTTAAGTTTTTATCAATTTTATAACAAAACAAAAAGACAGATAATTCACCATAAAATCAAAAAATCCATAAGAAAAATTTCTTACTAACCTCACTAATAAGGAAAATCTAACCCTAAATCTATTTTACAAATCAACCCATAAAATTATTTATTCCCTAATTAATCATTAACCATTATTAACTTTGATAGCCAGCCCTTCATAGTGCATAAATAATATATATATATATATATATATGTATAAATGCACACACAGCCACGCACACATAAATATATAGAACAATCCACTAAGAACAATTAATTACCTTATTTTGCCACAAATGATGAGTACAAGTAGAGTCTCTGGTTATATCCCTGTATCTCTGCGTGTGCGTGTGTGTAATGAAAGACAAGTAGATGTCTTTACTAACACGGCGCAGTATTCAGCCTCTGTATATTCCAACAATAGAAAATGGTATATGCTTGCAGATAGATGGGAGCACAAATTGGTTAATTTCCAGACCTACATACCCATGAGATGCAGTTCTGGAAATAAACCAGATATCAAGGAGAAACAAGAAAGAAAACAAGAGTGGATTGAAAGTGGAAGAACATGCTATCCAATCATATTAAGCCCTTATTCAGTTGGCAAAATATCAGGGGTTTGAATTGCCAGATCCCGTAAAAGTGGCAAATGAATATCATCTACTGTTTGTGTGTGAGAAACATATTGCTTTTTTTTTTTTTCCGAGTGTAATTCTTTTACCCCATTATACCCTAATTCTCATGTTTACAAGAAAAACCTAACAAATGTAATCCCTATTGCTACAATCTAGTCCAATTCATGAATTTCTTTATCTCGTCGTATAAAACCAAGATTGCAGCAGCTCCAGTGCCCCTAAACATGTTTGAAAGTGCCCCCCGGTAAAATGAAGCCACCCCTTCAGTCCTGTAAATCTTCTTCCAGCAATCCAGTGTGCTATGATACATTGGCTGTTCCATTCCAGATTGCATCATCATCCGCCTTCGAACTGTATCCAGTGGATATGACAACAACCCAGCAGAGGTCGTGACTGCCTGAGCCACCACCCAACGCTTCCATAGTGCAATTTCAGGTTTAGATTCTTCCGATAGGAGTTCCTTCATTGTATCAAAACCCCCAAAGTATAGGCCTCTGTGAACAACCATCCCCTGTAGAGAGGCAGGAAGTCCTCTATAAACTCCACGAATCCCGTCCTTCTTGTGTATGGTACATAAGAAATGGGAGATGCCTCGGAATTGACGTGCCTCAGTATTCCCAATGTCAGCAGCAAGTCGAGTGTGTGCAATATCAAGTGGGTAAATTAAGACCAATGTTGTACAACCAGCAGCAGCCCCAGCAATAAAGTTGGCAGATGCACCAGAAAAAATATGACTTTGCGGAGAATCACCACTTCGTAATATATTTCTATAAAGATCCTGCTCGATGGAAACAATCAATTAATGCCATGCCCGTATTAAAGAATTCATAGAACATTTTGTAAATTTTATATGATGGAAATAATATCCACATAGTTGGACTACTATCAAATCTTCTATAGTGATTCAAACAAGATTTGGCTTTCAGGCCTCCTAATGCCGTTATTTTCAACAACGACCACAGTAATAATAAAAAAAAAGTCCCGTCTTAATTCAGCACAGAAATTATCAAATAAACCTGACTTTCGATTAACTTTCTTATTTTTCTATATTGTTCTCAAACAAGATATGGTTTCCAGGCTTGCTAATGCAGTTATTTTCAACGACGACCACAGTAATAATAAAATAAAAATTCCTATCATAATTCAGCAGAGAAATTATCAAATAAACCTGACTTTTGATTGACTTTCTTATTTTTCTATATTGTTCTTAAACAAGATACGGTTTCCAGGCTGGCTATAGCAATTATTTCGTTGATTGTTTTCCTTGCACACTCCCCCAATATCAATAATGACCAAAGTAGTAATGAAATAAAAGTTTCTGTCACAATTCACCACATATGGTATCAAATAAACCTGACTTTTGATTGACTTTCTTATTTTTCTATATTGTTCTTAAACAAGATATGGTTTCCAGGCTGGCTATAGCAATTATTTCGTTGATTGTTTTCCTTGCACACTCCCCCAATATCAATAATGACCAAAGTAGTAATGAAATAAAAGTTTCTGTCACAATTCACCACATATGGTATCAAATAAACCTGACTTTCAGTTAACTTCCATATTTCTCTAGATTGTTCTCATTGTACTTTATTCCTAAAGCAAACTATGGGAGCTATTGTGATGACACACTAAAGAATACCAAGACTTCGGTTCACAATCTAGACATATGCCGCTTCCTTGTCATTAATCCACACCCTTATTTGCTTTATCTAGATATCATGACATTTTATTTATTTCTTTACTTATTTGATGAAGGAAAGTAAGAAGACTATAGCAAAAAAAATAACAAAACCACTTAAGAGGCAATATGATACTTCCTAAAGATAGAGAACCCCACTGTCCAAGCAATTTAGCAACTCTTCTCAAGATTTCAACTGAGATTGGTTTGATCTCTTTCTCCTTACTGTTCTACTCTAACTGGTAGAAACTTAGTGCATTTAAAGCTGACCACCAAATGGGCAACATAAAAAAGTATTTTTCAGATTTCTTACATTCCTGTATCTATTTCTTTCGCTGTTAATCAACCTTATACACAGGCAAGTCGTTTAATCAAATACATGAATATCTGTATGGCAGTTAATAATACATGTATCTTGACTTTCAATGATAAATGTGCTTTAGCTGATATCAAAATGCATATATACGTGTATGGTGAATTTTTATTACTTAAATTAAACGTATTTCAAATGAAAAGAAAATTTATTTGAAAGAAAGAAATTTGTGACAAGTAGAAATCTGAGGATAATTGTCTACCAGCTAAAAACACATGGAACAAGAAGACAATGCAAAAAATTATGGCAGCATAGCTAACTAATCCTTTTACGAAGCAGATAAGGGCATCCCTGAAAGAAAACACGGGCTCTGTCCCAAAAAGAAACAGAAAAGAGCATTCTGTTCCAAATCATGTGGGGCAATTGGAAACTGTTGCTTAAGAATTATACCATTCCATTCTAAACACATGGGTCATAATCTGAGAGAATTGACATTTTATCTTTTCTAGTTATCCCACTAACTCATTATTAGAGAGTAATCATGAAAAATTGTTTTCACAATCTTCTTTTCCTATTTAGCATTTTTCGTTTGCTAAAAAACATTTGCCAGTTCCATAATGAAGCTATTCTTAAGAAGTGTTTCCCTTTGCTTTAGTGGAGTAAATTAATTGATGTAGCAAGTTGTTAATAGCATCAGAAAAGCAGTTATCATTTAATTTTATTATAACAACTAAACTGTAAATTTTGTATATGGGTGGTACTCCGTTAGTACATTTGTGAATAATACTTTTCACTTTTTATTTTTTTAAGAAATTATTGTAACTTTAATGGCATTAGAATTTTATTTATATTTTATAGAGACACAGAAAACTCTTGTAAAATAATTGAATAGAATTAGAGAATGTAATCTCCCTTAGGAGATACAAATTATCCAAAAACAATTGTTGTGAGAATCTTTTCACATTTTCTGATTGTCTGATCCAATAAAATCTTAATTGTGAAGATTAAGAACCCTTTAGTTTGATATTTAAGAACTCAGGTGCTATACCAACACAATTCCCCAAGTAGGTAAATTAATCCTAGTTTGTTCCATGTCATGTTTGTCATAGATTTTCAGCCTCTATGATCGTAATGCTGTGATCTTTTTCCTCAAGAAGAGAAACTAACCCAACTGCATCTCTAGCACCTATGATTGAAAAGACATGCCTCAGAAATTCTTGGTATGAAGCTCCTAAACTTGGACAAGTAGGAGTACTTACTCATTCCATATTAAAGGGTGCAGTTTCTACACCTCCATCAAGGTCCCCATTGTAGTAAATACATTCATCTAAATATCTCCCAAAGCAATCTAAAATGAGTACCTAACAGGAAAGCTCCTTGCTATTCTACCCTTTGTACCATAATAGTACTGACCTTGGAAACTACCTTATCTTATCGATTACAAAACATTTGCACATATCATGTGATATTTCATTATTGAATGACACTTGGCATAACAAAACTTAAATTCCTGTTCTGTAACGTCAGCCTCTGCTGTTCATAATAATTCTTTTATAGCAATAGCATAAAAAAAGCACAGATCAGACTTCTTGTCTTTATTCCCAAATCGCTTCACTGTATGCTAGTAACAAGAGGAAGAGGATTTTAAAAGGGAGAAAATGACTATCGTAAGGTGATATTCGGATATCTAGGAGAGCTCACATATCAAACTGTCATCTCTCCTCCAACAATTTGCTTATATGTGCATGGGCCAGCACAGAGATTCATTCGGATCCCACCTCAGAAAAATAAGGATTATTAAAGATATTATCAGCAAAAGGCAACAGAATAAAAGGAATTCCAGGGGACAGAACCCGATTATTAAGAAACTTGGATGCCATTAAGACTATCACTCCGTTTTCTTGTCACTATATTGATTCCATACAGAAAAAAAAGGCGCTTATTACTAATTGTAATTAAAGCTATCCGAGCCTAACCCAATACTTCACATAAGCATTTCATCAGTCACTTAATATGCATGAGGTATACCCGTCCATAAAACAAAATCTTTGGCACACATTTGCAAGAAAGAATCGGTAGCAAAAATGCCCATATTGACCGATTAAATCATCATTGAAATTGCAAGAAAATCGGCCATTTACTCAAAGTCATACCAAGCTCCGGGAAAACGACACGAACAAGAAAAAAGTCAAGAAGAAAAAAATGAATTCGTATACCTTAAAGGGAGAAATTAAGAGCAACGGAAGGGT